ACGGGACGTTCAGTCTTTCCGGAAGATATCGTCGAGTTTTGGAAGCTGCGCGGTCAAACCTGGGGGGAAACAAGAGCGTCACGACGGACTTCAGGTTACACCTAAAGCTCTTCTGACGCTTCTCACTCCCCATCGAGCCCTTCTTGCCGCTCGGCTCTTCCTGTTTGTCGGCACAGAGCTCCGTGCCAGCCCTCCAGCGAGATAGGAACGAGTGTATCGCTTTGACGGATCGACCGTGCTTGTTATCAAAACCGATCTCACGTACACAGTTACACTCCAGACGTTCTGTACTCTCCTATCCGGCAACCGGCGAGACGCTGCCGTGAGCCAGCCGCTCTTGCGGCAGCCGCCAGCGGAGGCCGAGCGCGTCGCGTATCGATCGAGCTCGCGATCCGGGCCGTGGAGCCCACGAGGAAGACTTCGTCTGCTGGGACGGAGTCCCGACGCTCGCTGCGTCCGCTGGAACTGGGGTGTACACACCTTTCGTTTCCGCGTCCCGCAGTGGAAAGAATTCGCCTGGCGCGCCACCACCGCTCAGCGCGCAGCTTCGAAACTCCCAAGCCGCGCGATGGCCTCGCCGTCGTCTTCTCCGCCGCCGGGGGAGTCCTCCATGCGGCCGCCGCCGCCGCCAAAGCTCCTGTCCGACGGGGGCGCGCCGAGCGAGACAGAGGAGGGGACGGCAAAGCGGAAGCGGGGCAAGGACACGTACTACGACAAGAGCGAGGACTTCGAGAAGCTGGCCGCCAAGGACGAGCTCACGCTCATGCTGCGCCAGCTCCACCCCAAGACGGGCGAGTTTGACGTCTTCAAGCTCTTTTCGAAAGCGGGCAAGGTGACGGACGTGCGGCTGATCACCGACGAGCGGACGGGGAAGTGTCTCGGCGCGGGGTACATCGAGATGGCCGACGGCGGCTCCTTCTCGCGCGCGCTCCAGCTCGACGGCTCTCTCATCCGCGAGATGCCAATCATCGTGCAGCCGAGCTACGCAGAGAAGAACCGGCTGGCGGCCAAGGGCGCGACGCCGGCGGCGATCAAGGCGGCGGGGATGATGGCGGGCGCGACGCTGGGCATGGGCTCGGGCGTGGAGAGCGGGATGAAGCTCTACGTCGGCAACCTCCACTCGGAGATCACCGAGGAGCAGCTGCGCGGCGTGTTCTCCCCCTTCGGCTCGCCTAAAAGAAAGAAAGCAGCCCGCCGCAAGCCGCGGGATGGGAGGAGGAGGCGGTGCCCCCACCTGCACGTAGGCTTCCTGGAGCGGATCGACATCCACCGCGAGCAAGCGACGGGCGAGGCGCGGTACGGCTTCCTCCACTTCGCCCTCGCTGCGGACGGGAAGCGGTGCATGGACCAGATGGACCAGATGGACTAGGACCCTTCTAGGAACCTTCTAGGAACCTTCTAGGACCCTTCTAGGACCCTTCTAGGTGCATGGACCAGATGGACGGCTTCAACCTGGCCGGGCGCAACCTGCGTGTGCCGGGTGCGGTTTCTTTTTCCCTTTGGCCAGGAGCCGCCGTCTTTCTTTTTTAGGCGCAACCTGCGTGTGCCCGCTGCGGTTTCTTTTTCCCTCTGGCCAGCCCGCCGTCTTTCTTTTTTAGGCGGAACCTGCGCGTCTCCCTCTCTGGCCAAGACTCGTCGATGAGCTCCTCGGGCGCGGGCGAGGGCGGCGGGAACGGGACCGGAGGCGGCGACGGTCGCCGGGCGACGGCTTCGTAAGGAGCTCGTAATTTACTCCGAGGTCATCATGAATCAGGCGGCAACGGACGCGCGGGCGACTACATGGCGATCTCCCCACATCTCCCCACATCTCCCCACGTCTCCCCACACCTCCCCACATCTCCCCATCTCTCATCATCTCGGCATCATCTCGGCTCCCCTCGGCTCCCCTCCCCTCCCCTCGCCTCCCCTCCCCTCCCCTCGCCTCCCCTCGCCTCCCCTCGCCTCCCCTCGCCTCCCCTCGCCTCCCCTCGTCTCCCCTCGCCTCCCCTCGCCTCCCCACATCTCCCCACACCTCAACTTGTGCAGCTGGGGGTGCTCGCGCCAGTACATCTCCCCACACCTCCCCACGCCTCCCCGCATCTCCCCACACCGTTCGCGCCTTCTCGACGCGCGGAAGGAGCAGGCTGTGAACGGCGCCTCTGCACAGGGGCGGGCGTGTGTGAGTAGGCGATCGAGCGGCTGGACACGCTCAACGACGAGGGCCCCGGCGGCGGCGGTACAAAGGTGACGGCGGCGCAGCGTGCGCAGATCATGGCGCGGCCGGCGGAGGGGAGGAGGGGGCCGGCCTTGGCGGGGCACAGAGAGGACGATGCGCGTGTTTCTTTTGTGTAGGTGCGGGCTGGGAGGGGGGGAGGAGGAGAAGAGGTTTGAGCGCGGAACGACCGACCGACCGGCGGCGGGCGTCTCTTCTGCTGTAGGCGCGGCTGGCGGAGAAGAAGGGCGCCACGTGAAAAAGAAATCAGGCCGCGAGTGACTTCTCTTTTCCGCGTAGGCGCGGCTTGGCGGAGAAAGAAGGGCGTCACGTGAAAAAGAAATCAGGCCGCGAGTGACCTCCTCTTTTCCCGTAGGCTCGGCTGGCGGACAACAAGGGAGTCACCACTGACGAACGAGGGGCTGCAGACCGCCGACGGTATCCGCAATTTCGGCAAACTGAACAACAAAAGGGGGGCGGCGCTCCCCTAGCCCCGGTTTCTTTGTGAACCCGGGGCCCCCGCCGGTTTTCTTTTTTCTAGGGCAACATCCAAGGAAGCAATGGCGCCACTGGTTCCCCCCCCCAAAGCCTCCCTTCCTTGTTTATAGCCCCGGCCCGGGGCCTTTCTTTTTCTAAGGCAACCTCCCAAG